GCCGCATTTGCAGCTCAGTGCCCTCCATGCCACACCTCTGCATGGGCAGCAGCAGAAGTGCCTCATTCTGCCCTCCCTGGTGGCGAGTGGCTGCCCAGGCAAGGACTGGGGGGCCTGGAGAGACCCCCTCTGCCTGCATCCCACCCTGGTGTGTGTGTGTGAAGGGCAGTGTGGCCACTCAGAGCAATAAGAGACCTTCCCCGACCCTGCTGCAGCCCCCCAGCCCCACAGCCCAGGACCTCCTCCCCATGGCCCAGCCCAATCCCACTCCCTGTGCAGGGACAAAGCCTCCCATCCATCCTGTCTCCCCCTCCTCCCTCCTGGGGTGAGGGGGTCGGAATCCCCAGGCAAACAGCATTGAGGGGAAGGTGGAGGGGTGAGGGATGCCCAGGAAACACATCCCAGGGGGAAGAGCTTCTTTTGGTTTGAGATTTTTCTTTCTTCCCCAAAATTTAGTATTTAAAAAATGCTGTTGGTGGGAATCTAATAAGTGGCTGTGTGGCCCCAAGACTGGAATTCTCCATGCCCTGCAGTGATGGCTCCTCTTTTCTTGGCCAATGTGACAAAATTGGGATGGATTCTGGAATGTCTCCATGATGGGATCTGCACATTTCACCAGCACAGTGTTTTCAGCTGAGAAATTGTCACTGGTTTTGTACCTGGTTTTTCTTCTGGGATGGAAATTTTTCACATAAAAACACCATGGAAATGTGCCAAAGACAGAGGGGACATCCTCAGTCCCCTCCTGATCCACCCTCTGGCTCCAGCATGGCCTCAGTGGTTCGGTTTTGGTTTTCCATGTGGATTTGTCCTGTCCGAGGCCCCCCAATAGGAACGAAGCGTTTCAGTTTTAGTGAAACACCCTCTGCCCTCCTGATCCCTGCCTGCCCCGTGCCCTGCCAGGTCCCTGCCTGCCCTGGCTGCCCATGGCCCTGCTCACACACAGCTTCTAAACTGAGTCCATTCACCAGGACGGTCCTCGGTGGGGAGGGGGGTCCCTGTCCCTGCCACCCCTCAGAGCCCCCGCACCAAGAAAGGGATTCCGGGGGCCATTCCCAGTGCCAGCCCCAGTGCCAGCCCCAGTGCCAGCCCCCATGGCAGCACCACAGCAGGACACAGTGCAGTGACAGCGCCAGCCTGGTGGCCTCGGCCGCTCCCGGTCTGCACCAGGGCGGGTCCAGCAGAGCCTTTCCTGGTCTGGGGGCTCCTGGCAATGCCCCAGGGCACGTTCTGTGTCCTGAGGGCTCCAGCATCTCGTAGCGTCTCTCCTGTAGTTTAGGGCTGTATTTACACACCACCATGTACCAGTGTCCCCCACCCCCAGCGTGTCCCCTGGAGCCCAAGGGGTCCCTGTCCATCCCTCCCGGGCCAAGCCCGTCCCATCAGATTCCCGTGTAGCACCGACCTTTTACAGTACACTTGAACCTTTGTATCCTCAAAAAAAGGTAATTACTGTATTTAATTTCCCGTTATTTGACGTGTTTCTGTAGAGTGTGTTTTTATCTTTTATGGCTTTAAATTATGGGAGGGGAGGGAGGGAGGCAGAGCAGGAATGAAGGGTATCCCACTGGTGTGGGCACAGCTCTGGTCAAGGGCCTGCTCTGGGTTTGGGGTTCAGCAGCCCTGCAAACCCAGGAGCCCACGAACCTCTGGAAGAACTTCCCTGGGCAGGGATGGGGTGGGAAACAATTAATTCCTTGCTTCCTCATGACTCCCGGCTCAGTGTCTCCACGGTGCCACCGGGAGGATTGTCCCTGTCGCCCTGCACAGCGCCACCGAGCAGCGGCGGCGGCGCCAGCCCGGGGAGGGGACCCTGGACCGGCTTCAAAGTTCAGGGGCACACCGGGACAGGCACCGGCTGCTCCAGGGACACGGGCTCCAGGCCAGGCAGTGCTGCTGCCCGAGGCGCATGTGTGGGTGCCTGCTGGTGCCAGGGCACACCGGGCACCTCCAGCTCAGTGTTTGGGGAGGGGGTCAGGATGCAGGCAGGAGATGCCCAGGCACAGGAACTGTGACAGCTGTGCACTTCCTGGTCATGGCTCCACTCTGTCCCAGTGTCTGCAGCCAGCTGTGCCCGGGCTCATGGCTCAGGAGCTCGCTGAGCCAGTGTTTGGTGGCTCCTGGGGCTGGCAGTGCCACCGGGGCTGGTGCCAGCCGGATGCCGGAGCGGGGCTGCGGGAGGAGCTGCCGTTGTACAAACAGCACCGGGATGGGCTGCAGCCAATGCAGACAGCCCAGAAATCTGCTGGCATGGCAGATGGGCCTCCAGGAGCCCAGCCCTGTGCCCCGGCCCTGTGTTGATGGCTACCAGGGCTGGCTGGGCTTGGGGGGCAGCACAAATTCCCAAAGCACCGTGGGGAGCCAAAGTCTGTGCCCGTCCCCATTCCCAGTTGCTGGTCCTGACCAGCAAAATGATAACAACAGAGTTGTTGCCCGCTCTGGGGGTTCTGGGGCTGCCCCAGGGTCTCAGGGCTCAGGACCCACAGCCGAAGCTGCCTGTGACCTTGGGGAGCTGCAGCCCCTTGGTCCCTGCAGCACGATGGGGACAGCAGAGGCACCTGGATCCCTTGGGCACCAGCTCCTGAGCCCACCCTGCAGTGCTGGGCTGTGGCTGAGCAGAGTTCAGGGCACAGGAACTGAGGGGACAAAGCTGCTGCTGCCTCCTCTTAGTGCTCCATGTGCTCCCCCTGCAGTGACCCCAGTATCTGTTCTGGTCATTGCCAAGAGTGGCCACAGCTGGACCTGCTCCACAGCCTGGCTGGAGTCCTGGGTGCCCTGGGTGCATCTGTTCAGCTGCTCTGGAGCACAGCAAATGTCTCCATTGCTGCCATCCTCGAGGTGTTATTGAAAAATATTCTACTGCTTTATTGAAAACACCCCTGGGAGGGTTTGTTAACATGGGGGCCCAAATTAAACCAAAGCAGAGGCACCAAATGAGAAATAAGGTAGAGAAGAGCGTGGTGGCCTCAGAGCTGCTTTCTGCTCTGAGCTACAGCACGAGCTGACCCTTCAGCTGCTGCAGATCATGGCAGCACCATGAGTCTTCCTCGAGGCCCTGCCAATTTACGTCATCTGAGAACCCGGCCCAAATTCAGGCAAGTCATTTCCAAAAACCCGAGGATGTTTCACTGTCATGGAAATGTCACCATTTATTTCCCAGCTCTGGGCAATGCTGGGAGGTCGAGCCCCGCCCGCAACCCCGCACTGCGTAAAAAGGGCAGGAGAATTTCCCAGCACCAGGAAAAATGCGCTGCTCTGTCAATTCCTGCCTGTGGATGCTGCTTGCTCCTCGAGGCAAGCAGGTTTCCAGCAGGACTTAGTCATTTTATACACTTTGATTTGCAAAGCTGCCTCTTTGTGCTGCTCAGGGGGGCGATTCCTCCCCCAGATTTTCCCTCCTGCAGCACTCGGGGATCAGGGCTGAGTCCCCAACTCAGTTCAGCTCCATGAGCTCCCCCAGCCCAGGGCACCTCATGGCTGGTGGAAAGCCCAGCCAGAGCATTGTGGTCCTTCAAAGCAGAGAGTCCACCTGAGGGACAGTGGTTCCATAGAGAGCACAGCTCCCATCCCTTCCCCAGGGCAGCCAGTGCCCCATGGAGAGGCTTGGAGGAGCATCTCATCCCACCAGAGCTCAAAGTCTTTAGCTGAGGCTCCTGATGTGACGGTGCATAACAAAAAAATTCGAATTACGTGCTGTTGCCAAAATGCAACCCAGAAGCAGGAGAAGGGGAGCAGGAGAAGCTCAGCAGTGTGTGGGCAGCTGCTGGCCCTGAGTGTCCCAGGGCTGTGTCCCTATGGGCTGGGCAGGAGCTGGCGGAGCCGGTCGATGACAAGGGACACGGGCTGCAGGGTGTCGTACTCTGCAAACAGGTGACAGAGGTTCTCCGAGTCTGTCTGGCTTTTGGCCACGAACCCGAAGATTCTTTGGGAAAGAAAAGAGGCTTATTCAGTTTGCATCCAGGAATCTGAAGGAATAGGCTGAAACCAGCCCAGCCACAAAGCCAAATCCCAGTTCCAGCAATTCCACCTTGGCCCGCTCCCCAATCACGTTTCCTTGGAAGCCAAGCAGCCGGGAGGAGCATTTTTGGCAAGGCTTCCCCAGCTGTGAAAAGATTCTTGAGCACAAGGTAGAGCCAGATATAAACTCACTTCCTGAACCCAGCACAAGTCCCTGGGAAGGCTGTGGGATTTGGATGAGGGGTTCTGCATGAGGGGATGTGGAAAACTGGCCTCAGCCAAACCTCTCATCCAAACCCCCCCAAAAAGCTTCACCCATCAGTCCCACGCCTCATCCTGCCACCATGGTAACTTCTATCACAACCCCTCCTCATTTTTTGAGCTCATTCTTTGCTGCTCTGCAATGCAGCCACTTCCCAAAGCAGCAGCATTCCCCCGGATTCCAGCCCCCCAGCCCACGCAGGAGGTCCCTGCTCTTACCTGGAGGACTTGCAGTACTTCTGCCACCTGGGGGAAGAACAGAATTGGAGTTGCTCAGAGGCTGATGTTTAACTCATTCCATCAGCTGCAAAGCCAAGGGTTATGTTTAGATCCACCCCAGCAGGGCGTGCCCAGGGCAGTTTTATGGGATTTGGGATCTGAATTGGTGCAGAGGCACTGGGAAGCACAGGGAAGGGAGCACAGCAGTGGTGGGTGGTTCTGACAGGCATGGCTGCCCAAAACTCACTTTCTGTTCTCAGGGTCCATCCCACAGAACCTGATGGCAGCCAAGGGGTAGTGTCGCCTGAAAAACACCCTGGAAGAGGAGAGGGAATCGTTAGGGAAGGGAAGGGCCTGGGAAAGGACATGAATTTGCAAATCTAACCCCTGTTGTGCGAGACTGAGGGTCTCAAGGCATCCCAAAACCCCAACCCTGAGTGCAGATGGTTCCCTTGATGCCACCAAACCCAGCACCCCTTGCTAAGGTGCCACACCCATCCCTGCATGGTGACACGGATTTGTCCAACCAGGACAGGTTTTCCTGAGGCTGGGAGGTGAGGAGGGAGCTGCCTCTCCATGAACAACCCCCTCATCCCTTGGCCCACCCAAGCTCTTACTTCCTCTGGATGTCGGTCAGCGTGACGCCCTGCTCCGTCACCCTGAAGTGCACCAGGGCTGGGGTGGGCAGCGTCTCCAGCTCCAAGGTGCAGGAGATGCCCTTCAGGATGGCTGGGGCTCCTGTCAGCGTCTCCACGTTCACTGAGTTGAGGTACAGGACGTTGCACACTGCAAGGACAGCACGGCTCAGCACGGATGTGACCCGGGCCAAAGGGTCCCAGGGGTCATCCTGCAGATGCCTCACATGGACCCGGGTCAGGTTTGTTTTGACGAAAATTAAAAAGATTTGGTGACTCAGAAATTCTTCGCTGATTTAGTTTGGTTTGCTTTAATTCTTCACACTAATTGTTGTAAAAGTCAAAGTATTTAATTTCCCGTTTCTAAATGTCACATTTGCTGGGTTTTTTCTTTTCTGTTTATTACATATTTCCTTTAATGAAAAGCAGAAATACCCCAAGCTAACCAAGGGCTGACGGCCAACCTAAAACATGACATTTCAGGCTGATTGAGCTGTTTAAAGGGCTGCTCTGGGTCAAACTAAACTTTCCAGCCTGCCAACTGATTTTTCAGAATTTCCAGCAAAACAAAGCAGTCCCCAGCTCCCCAGCCTGCGTTGTGACCTGTCCGTGTGGTCTCCTGCCCCTTATTCTTTGCTCTCACCTGGAGCCCACCCAGGCTGAGGTGCACAGACCCTTCCCCATCCACAGACCATTCCCACATGTGCCCCACAAGGGAATTTCACCAGCCCCTGGCTGCCCACCCCTCTCCTAAAGCTCCAGCTGTTCCACCCCCATTGAAGCCCATCAGGAGAGAGGCTTAAAAATCAGGAACTCTTTAAAACTGTGGAACTCGGGGGTCTTTTATCAGCCTCATGACCTCCAGAGCTGTGTTTTCAAGCAGCTTGAGGACTCAAAGTTTCCCTTCCTTAAAAATATCAGGTTTCCTTGCAACCGAGGGAAAAATCTGCAGCTATCTGCAGCCCCATGGGGAAGCTGGAGGGGGATGTCAGTGCCCAGCCCTGCACGGGGGTGACCTGCTGCTGTCACAGTGTGCCCGAGGCTGTCCCCAGAGCCAGCAGCCGGCTCCTGTGCTCACCTGTAGCTTTCCTGGCCAGGGCCGGGGCAGGTTCGGGGGCGCAGTCAGGGCTGTCCAATCCATCAGCGAGATCTGCACAAAGGACAAGCAGGAGCAGTGATGCCACAGGCCAGGCTGAGCTGGTCACCTCTTTGGCCTTTCCTTATCTCACAAAAGACACTAATTGCAGGGGTTTAGAGCAGTAATTAACTCAATTGTGCTTCATTTTCCTCTCCATTCACCTCTGATCTCCCACTCCCACTTCCCTTGCCCCCAGCGGAAAGGAGCCGCCGCCCTCCTGTCCCCAGGTCCCCGCTCCACCTGCAGCCAGGGGAGCAGCCCCTCGCAGGCACCTGGGGGTGCTCAGACCCCTCCCCACGCCAGGACCTCGCCCACCTCCCCGGGGCAGCGGGAGGAGCCTCCCTCCTGCCGCATCTCCTACCTCTGGTGGGGATGCTGAGCTTGCAGGGCAGCGCCAGAGGGGTGATGGAGTGCTGGTAGACGAAGGCAGACAGGCTCCCTGCAGTCAGAATTGTGAGTTTAGGGAGGGGGGCTGCTGCCTGGAACCCCCCACCCACACACCTGCAGCAGTGTCCCAACAGGGAGATCGTGTTCCTGCTTTGGAGCTGCCAGGGAAATGCAGGCAGGACCTGGGGTTGGGGGGTTCCTGTGCTGGCAGGTGGGCACCACATTCACCTGGTGCTTCCAGGGGCTTTGGGAGCAGCTCCTGGCGCTGCCAGGGCTGCTGTGGGCACAGCACCATCCTTACCAAAGTACAGCTCCTCGCTGGCGCCCTTCAGGTGAACCCCTTTGGTGGAGGACTCGATGAGGAAGTGCCTGACGAGGTCACTGCTCTCCTCACCTGCAAGAGGAACCACAGTCAGCACCAGCAGCGGCCCCAGTGCCACCGTGCCACCCCAGAGTCCTGTCCCAGGGCATCACTGGAGCTGCTTTGTGCCACCACCATGGTGCCAGTCCCTGTGAGAAGAGGGCACACACAGACTCTCTGCCACACACCACAGTGCTGTGGCTTCTCTGCGGCTTTATTTTGAGTAATTTCAGCAAAACCCTTGAATCAGCCCCCCAGGCACCCCCTTACCTGTGTGGCTGCCTGAGGGGGAGCCAGGAACCTTCATGGCCAGCCCGAAGGAGCCCCGGAAGGAGGTGCTGTCCCTCACCAGGAACGCGCCCGGCTCCTTGTCCTTCAGCAGCTGGATTGCTGTCAGAGCACAGAGCACAGGCAGGGGCTCAGCCAAGCACAACGGGTGGGAGCTGCCTGCCCTGTGCCCTGCTGCTCTGCAGGGAGTCCCTCCTTGGCTGCAGCAGCTCTGGAGTGTGTGCCAAGGACATGCACACATCCCTGGTGTGGCACCAACTGCAGGGCCCTGCCTTGGTCCCATGGTCCCTGCAGCCCTCAGGACACTCAGCCCCTGCCCAGGGCATGCTGTGTGATGGGCAGGACAAGCTTTGCTGGGCGTGGAGGACACAGAGGGGCCGTGACACAACCCTTGAGAGGGTCCCTCCACACCCACCAGCCCCCAGCAGGATTTGATTTGCCCCCACTGTGTCCCCACAGGGACACTGGGGAGCTCTGGGGACAGGCCAGAGCCCAAGTGGGGTCACACCCTGCCTCACCTCGGTCCCTGCTGATGCTTGGCTTGAACCAGAATTTGGATGTGTCCATCACAAACTTCATGGTGGGCTGCCCAGCCTTCAGGGGACCTGCAAGAGAGCACGGGGTGTCAAGGCCAGCAGGAACCTGAAGGACCCCCACAGATGGCAGAGCCCAGCAAAGACATTTCTCCCTCAGGGTGGCCAGGGCTGAAGGTCTTTCAATGCTTTTGAATCCTTTCCTCCCCACTCCTCAGAATAGCTCGTTCTCCATGCAATTATCTCTCTTGGCAGGCTGCGATGTAGAGCAGAGAGGGTCACATGGAATCCCCTGGCAGTGCCAGCCTGCCCAGCCCTGCACAACCCACTGGACCATGGGATTTACACCAGGGTCTGACCCACACACCCTCTTGCTATTCCCACAAGGATTCCAATTAAAACCCTCTGCCCTGAGAGCTGCCTCTGCTCATCTCCCCCAGAGAACAATAGCCCCAGTGTCTGCCCTTGAATGAGGGACCTTGTGAACCCTGGTGCCTTTTGGTGTCCTCAGAGCAAACGGGAGCCCCAGCCCCTCCTCCCAGCCTGCTCTGGGTCTGCAAACAGCACAGAATGATGTTCCTCATTCTCAGGTGCTATAAATAGGTGCATCTGCATCTCCTGGAGGGAGCAGAGCATTCCTGGCTGCTGAGCCCACGTCCCAGGACACCGGTGGGCAGAAAGCTGAGCCCAACCCTGGGTCACCACCCCCAGCCTGGAGACCACCTGGACCATGGGGAGACACAGCCAGCACCTCCCATCCTTTGTGTGTATAAGCAGAGGGAATATAACCAGCTAAAGCAGAGGGAAAATGGGCTTTGCCCCCCCTTTTCCCAGCAGTTTTGGGCCGTGCACTGCCCCCCACCCTGCCCTGTGAACTCACTGTCTGAGAGGCAGCTGAGGGTGGGCGCTGACTGAGCGTTGTTCAGGCCCCCCAGCCTCGAGGCCGGGCTGCAGCCGGCCAGGGGGGGCTGTTTGGCAGAGCTTGGGGGGGCTCTGGCCATCGGGGGGGGTCCATCCCCTTGTTCCAGGCACCCGTTCACCAGCAGCACCGGGATGTCGGCAGCAGAGGTGAGGATGGAGGGGGGGCAGCTGCTGGCCTGGCCCTTCTGGGTCAGGGAGGTGCTGGGGGAGCTGCCTGCCCGCGGCTGGGGGGAGCTCTGGCCAAAAGCCTCCCTGGGGTGAGCCGCGATGCCCGAGGAAGGGGAGCAGGGGCTGCCCAGGGAGCTGGAGGGGGACAGGGAGGCAGCGGCCGAAGCGTCGGAGTCGTCGTTGTGGAGCGAGTGGGTGCTGCTGCAGGAGGGAGACAGAGCACACATCAGGGGATGTTCACACACAGAAACCATGCCAGCCACTGCACCAACCCTGCAGGGCATCACCAGGGAGTGAGGGACTGCCCTGTGGCCCTTCCAGCGGGCACAGGTGGCATTTACCTGCCCAGCATGTAGCTGGTGTCCGAGCCAGGGCTGGTAGAGAGCTGGGACACCCAGCTGCCCCTCTGCTGGGCCCTCAGCACCTGCACGGGCTTCAGCAGGTTCTCCACACCTGGGGAGGTGCTGAGGGCCCCGGGGCTGCAGGAGGCTGTGTCTGTGTGTCCTGCCAGGCACTGCCAGGGAGCGCTGCTGCTCTCGGCTGCTTTGCTGCTGCTCAGCGCGGCCGGCTGGGGACTCGGGGGTCCGGGTGGGCTGGAGAAAACCACGCTGTCACCAGAGCTGTATTTGCCTCCCAGAGCCCCTTTTTGGGGCAGGAAGCTGCTGGTCTGAGGGGACCTGGAGAAGGGGGTGCCTGAAGGGCTGGGGGAGCCCTGTGGCAGGTCAGGCCCCGTGGCTCTGCCTGGTGTCAGCTCTATGTACTTGATATCTGCAGAGAGAGAAAGTGAGAGAGAGGAGATCATGAAGGATCTGGTGTGCAAGCTGGGTTCCTCAGCAAAGCTCTGTGAGGAACATGTGTCCGTTGTTCCTGCTGGGAATTTTGGCTCCCTCTCTGCAGGGCTGGGGGTCCAGCAGAGTGTTGAGACCCTGTGAGGGCTGATTGCTCACAGAGCCCAAGGTGAGGTGAGCCCCCCATGCTGGCAGGCTCCCAGGGAAGGAAGGGGTTACGTGCGGCCATATCTGGCTGCTCAGACCCCCCTCGCCAGCATTACCCAGCCAGGACCTGCCGGGACCTGCAGCCAGAGGAGGGTGTTCCCTCCAGCAGCTGCTCTGTTTGTACCTGACTCAAGAGAAAAACACCTGGCTGCTCCCCCCGGGGTGACGTCAGGTTTGGAGGGTGGCCCTGCACACCCTGGGCAGAGGGGAGGTCACCTGGGCCCAGGTACAGCTGGGGCAGTGACAAATCCACGTGGGACAGGGGCAGGTAAAACATTCCTGGTGTACATGACCAGCAAGCACAGACCTGTCAGGGGCTGGCTGCTCCCTCCTCCTTTCTCCCACCCTGCACAGATCTCTCTGCAGCAGTCTCTGTGCCTCTGTCCTGCTCTGGGACTCTTTCTGCTCACAGCCAGCCCCTCCACTTGCCATTAGTGACATGAGAACACACCTGACAGCATCTCCTGTCCAACACCCCCAGTGGAACCTCACAGCCAGCACCAGGAGAGCCTGGTGCACATCAAATCCAGGCTTCCTTGGACAAAGCCAGCATTTCTGGCTGAGCTGGAAGAGCCCTTTTAGCAACTCAGACTTGATTTGAGTGCTTGCAGCATGGCAGATTCATCACATCCCAGGGGAGCTGCTGCTGTGGTTAATCACTTAATCACCCCAGAGCCAGAGGTGTGCTCCTCCCTTCCAGCCTGGACGTGCCCAGCTTTGCTTTCAGCTCCTGCTCCTTGCCCTGCCGTGGAGTTCAGCAAAGCTCCCCTTCTCAAAGGTGTTTCTCAGAGAGGGAAAATCCTTTTTGCTGCAGCAAACACAAACTGCTCTGACAGCCCTGAGCTCCCTGCCCGTGGTGTGACAGGTCCTGATGGACCTGCTGGCCCAAGCACCAACCTGAGCTCTGGGGCACGGAGCTGGGTGAGCAGGAAAAGCACAGGGCTGTACTGAAGTGATTCCCCGAGCCCCTTTGTGCCAATCCCAGCAGAAAATCGGATAAACACAGCCAAGGAGGCGCTGGGTGTGCCAGGAGGGCTGGTCCCCAGTGGGGACACAGCTGGATCATGGCAGGACAGAGCCAAAGCCAGCTCCTCCAATGCCCAGCCTGGGGGCAGCTCTGTGTCTATGTGTCCTGGCACCAGTGCTCAAACCCTTTTGTCAATATCTCCCCAAAATGAGAAAGAAATGGGGATTTTAATTGTTTTTTAAAGAACTGACAAGAGTCTGTGCACCAGGCTCCTGAGGCCTTTTACCTCCTACTTCTCTGCCTTTGCTCCTCTTATCACCTGTGGTTAAACCTCAAATATTTGCTCAAGACCTTGGCAAGTTTTCCAGCATCAAGGAGTGGCAAAAGTGCCACAAACACGGAGCCCAGATGTCACGCAAGCCAAGCTCTGAGATCTCCTTTCTCCTCTAGGATCTACAAGGATCCAGAGGGAATAGAGCCTCTCATGAAGGTGCCTCCTGTTGCTGCAGCATTTCATAGATTGTGCTGAGCTGGAAGGGGCCCATCAAGATTGAGTTTAAAGCTTCCTCATGTTCTCCAGTAAAAAAGACAAGAACAGGCCCCTCTCACCTCTCTTGGGCACCATCAGTCCCTGCCACCCTCACACCAGGCACAGGTTGCAGGGCTGGAGCAGGTGAGTGAACACTGCATAATGGGAGGAAGTTTGTGTAAAAAACCAAGAGCTATTAAAAGAAAATGAAAGCTGGAGTGAGGCCTTCCCCACTGAATTCATGGCCAGCTCTCCAGATGTTCAGTTCCACGCTTGCAGCCAGGTTCTCCAGACCATCAGCACGTTACCTGTGGAGCTGCTTGGGGCTCCAGCCCCTGAGCAGTGCAATGGGTCAGGCACAGAGCAGCCAGAGCTGGATCTGCACTTTGGCACAGTGTTTTATCTGCAAGGCCACCCTGTCCGTCCCAGCAGGAAGCAGACACTGTCTGCTCTGGAATTGCCTGGCTCCTGCAGGGCTGCTGCCTTGCACACCCTCACACCCGCCTCATCCTTCTCCCTGTGTCTGCATGAGGGCTCAGGGAGAATTTAATTTGGTTTTTTTTTGTCTTTAACATCCCCGCGTTTGACCTTGCTGTGGGGGACCGATTGTTCAGGTATTTCCATGTGTAAAGACAAGGATGGGCAGTAAAGCTTTTGGGAAGCTTGAGGCACCTGAACCACCCTGAACTGTCCTGTCAGCAGTGTCAGCTCCCCATGTACACGGTGTTGAACACCCAAAATGAGCAGGAGAGCCCAGGCAGAATTAGCTGGATCACAAATCCGAGTTTGGCTGCAGGGATGGCAGGGAAGAGCTGCACAAGGGGTCACACAAGGCACTGTGAGCAGAGGCAGGGCTGGTATGTGCTGCTGGTGCCTTGCCTATGCCAGGTATGCTGCCCAGGGAGTGCACAAGCCCTGGAAAAAGAATTTCCCTGGCACAAGGGTTGGGAACACTTAAATGGGATGGTTGTGCAACACTCGATACCTTAGCCCAGGGCTCTGGAAATCTGGCTGCAAACCCATGAGCTCCCACAGGTCAAGTGTGACCCTGGCAAAGGCTCTGCTGCCCTTGAGGGGAGCAGGGCCCTCACTGGGCACCCAGAGCCCGTCACTGGTGGTGACAGCTGGGATTAGAAGTTTTCCAACAGCTGCAAGTCCCATTTGTGGTGAGAATTGTTTTCTTCAAACACAGGGAAATGGATTTCAGGTAGAACTAAAAGCTGTTTTCCCTGGTCCTTTCTGCACCCCTTTGAGCTGCTTGGACATGAGAAATGTCAACAGTGATCAGGGCAGGGCTGGGGAAGCACTGGGGTCAGGCAGAGCTTGGATACCCACTTCTGGATTGTTATTATGGAGCCCTGACGTCAGGACACTGATCCCCCTGGGGACAGCAGGGAATGTCCCTGGTGCCCATTTCCAGCCTCCTCAGGAGCACAGGACCTTCTGTGGGTCCAGGGCACAGACATGTGCCTAACCAGGCTCTGATTGTCACCAGATGGGAGCTTTGGTGACCCAAGTGCTGCCTTTGCCTCACCTATTGCCTCCTGCTCCTGCTTCTTGGTGGCCACAGTGTCCCCCTGAGCAGCAGGCTGGCCTGCAGCCCTCACTGGCCTGCATGGCAGTGGCTGGAAGGTGGGATCAATCTCCAGGATCATCTTGTTGAGAGTCTCTATGGTTATATCCAGGGAGGGAGACATTGGCTGATCCTCAGGGTCCATGCTGCTGCTCTCCTCCTCCTTTGGCTGGCTCAGCACAGGGGGTCTCTCCAAGGAGGAATTCTGCTGGTCCTTCCCCTGCGTGTGAGCAGCCAGATGCTCTGGCAGGGGCTGGGCTCCATACCTGGGGATCAGGTGAGCCTTGGGGTGCACCATGGAGGGGGGGTCAGTCCAGGTTTCTGTGGAGTAGTAGACGTACTTGCCCGGCAGCCTGGGGTACCCGGCTGGGTGCAGGCTCTTGCTTTCCTCCGGTGAGGAAATGCACACAGTCTGCCCAACACGCAGCACGTGGGATTCTATGACCTGGGACATGCTTTGGTTTTCTGCTTTCACAGCTCAGAGGCCAAGGGAAACCTCCTCCTTCTCCTCTTCCTCCTCCTCCTTCCTCCAGCAGGGACCTCAGACCCCGTCTTCAATCCAGTCTCCAGCGGAACAGGAATCTGAGGAATGCAGAGAGGAGTGGTTACACAGGCATGCCCCGGGCAGGAGCCGGCTCCAAATCCCCGTTTTTATGGACTTTTCCACTGGAGTGAAAGCTGGAATTCAGCTTATATGAAATCAAGTCCCCCTGTGCTGCTTTTCCAGCCCCTCCAGCCTCTGCTCCCGGTGCCACAGCGCAGCCAGGCCAGCACATCAGAGGCTGGTTGGCAGCAGCTCTTCAGGATACAGAGGCCTAAAATGGAATCCTGCCTTTATTTGCTTGTTTTTCTGGATTAAGAATGAAATGAAGGCTCTAGCAGCCTTCCCATGGGACCCTGACCCCCAGGAGCCCTGTGGGGCAGAGAGCTGGAGCTGCCTGCCAGGGCAGTGTCCTGCAAGGGGGTGTACAGCTAATCCAGGATTTCATTTTCCTGGTACAACACAAGTCTGGAGGCCTGTGGACGTGGCTGCTGCCTCAGTGGTGGTGCTGCTTGAGGAATCTGACTGCAGATAGGCTCTGAATACTTTGCTTTAGGCAGAACGTGGTTTTTTATTCCCCATTATAAACCCCTATGGAATGAGGTTGGCTTCCCTCAGAGGTCTGGGGAAAAGGGTCCTGGGATGCTGTTTGGAGGTGGGGAAGTTGTCCTGCTGCATCAGCAATCAAATGGGGTTCCCCCAGCTGCTGCTGGGCAGGAGCTGTCCCTCTCCCACCTTCACTCCTTTGCCTTGGGATGAGGACAATAACCCTGCACCCCTCTGTACCCATTTTGGCAGCCCAGATCTCCTGTTGGGGACACCCAGGCCCAGCACAGTCCCTGTGCCAGCACCACACCATCCTCTCTGGTCCCTGGGGAGGGCAGCACTGCTGGGGACCACGGGGGATGCAGAGATCCAGAGGCAAAGCTTTGCTGGCAGGAGTTAATGCTCCCACTCCACATCCTGTGCAGATCTGGTGTGTGACACTCACAGAGGGGTACACTGTCACAGACATCTTTTATGAAAAATCCTTTCCTTAGGATTTTTTCCTCCTGAGAAGTTGAGAGGCCTCAAGAACAAAATGTAAACATTGATTATCTGCTGCTGTGGAATGCAACAGGTAGATCTTGGATTGGCCCATGTTAGTTGTTTTAATTAATGGCCAATCAAAGTGGAGAGAGTCTGAGCCACAAGCCTTTGTTATCATTCATTCTTTTTCTATTCTTAGTTCACCTTCTGACAAAATCCTTTCTTCTATTCTTTTAGCATAGTTTTAATACAATATATATCATAAAATAATAAATCAAGCCATCTGAAACATGGACTCAGATCCTCATCCCTTCCCTCATCCTAAGGCCCCTGTGAGCACTCTCACAGTACACTTAATAAAATATTTGTCCTGCCCTGCACCAGCCTCCAGTGACAGACTTATTTACTCTCTTATCCCGGGCTGATTAACGATGGAGTCACAGGATTAGGAAGCAGACACGTTGCTCGCAGGCAGTCCCCGAGCCCCGTGGGCGCGGGCAGGAGCTGGGCTGGTGCCCTGCGTCACCGCCCGTAATCAGTGACTAATTACCCTGCCAGGTGTCAGAGCAGGAGCGGGGGGTGCCTCCAAGCAGGGCAGCTCTGCCCTGCTCAGTTATATAACCCTGGAGAAGCCCCATATATTGCTAGAGAGACACCCGGGCTCATCAAATGTCGGGAATTCGAAGCAGAACATCGCTGCTGCTGTCAGCGCCCAGCCCCGGGCGAGTCAGGGCAGGCAAAGCCTCTCCAGGGCTTCCGAGAGCTGCAGGAGTGAATAAATACCTGAACCCCGTTCACCTCGCTGCCAGCCCGGCCCCCGCCGTGTCTCCTGAGCCTCTGAGGGGTTTCAGTCCCGGCAGTGGGAGCAGGGCTGTGCTGCAGCAAGGGAAGCACCTCTGGAGCCTGAATTAGACAGCTCTGAATTGTTGCTAATTATTCCTAGAGGTGGGAGCCCCTGGGAATTCGGGGCTGTGCTGTTGCAGCCAGGTCTGCCACAGTTCCCAGAGGGGATGGACTGAGGCTGGAGTTGGTTATCCCTGTGGAAGGGATCTGCCAGAAATTGGTGATGGGTAGGGGGCTGCAGGTGGTGGGGTCCCTCCTCTGCAGCAGTGCCACAGCCCACAGTGCCCTCCCTGCTGGCTGTGCCATGGCCAGTACTAACCCCTGCCTCTTCCTTGGCATTTCCAGAGCCCAGCACCAGCCCCTGCCTCTTCCTTGGCATTCCCAGAGCCCAGCACCAGTCCCTGGCTCTTCCTTGGCATTCCCAGAGCCCAACTCCAGGGCACACTGATGCAGGAGCAGCCTGGCACCAATCCCCCCTTCCATGCCAGGGCTCTGCCCACAAAGTTTTTGCCGCCTAAGGAGTGACAGGACTGCACCAAGGGGTGCAGGTCAGAGCCCAGGTAAGCAGATGCCCACCTTGGGGAGCCACCCAAGGTCTCCTGGCACGGGGCACCGTGTGCCACAGCAGTGCCAGCTCTGCGTGAGAAGCGCAGCGTGGTCCCAGGCTCGGAGGGAGCGTTTGTTAAATATAAAAAGCAGAGTCATTCCAGGTCAAAAACACAAGCGAGATGGAGTGAAAATTGGATTCTCCCCTGGGGAGAAGAACTGCCTGGCTCCAGTCAGCATCCACAAGACAAGGCTGGTTTTAATTTAAGTAGGTACAGAAATAACGTGCAGGATGCATGAACCGGGGCTGCCGGGGCCTCCAGGAGCATGCACGCAACAGCTTCCCTCCTTTCTTGTACTCCTGCCCTGAGTTTTTGATCTTTCTCAAGTGTGATGCTGCCAGAATTAGCCTCCAAACCTCATTTCTCCTCCCTTCCCTGCTCTGGGTTGAAGTGAGAGCTCTCCCAAGCTCCTCAGAGGAATTTGGAGCCTTGGCTCTTGTGCTTGGAGGAGCAAAGGGGAAGGGCTGAGGTGAAGGAGGAATCACAGGGTGGCTGCTGGCCACCAGTGTGGCACAGGCAAACGCTACCCACAGAGATCAGGAACTCCCCAGAGCCACAGGGAATGGGCTGGGCAGGGTCTGGCTGTGCCCCTGGGCAGGGAAGAGAGGCCAGGCATGGGCACAGGTACCACACCGTGCCATGAGCCATGCCCTGGGCTCTCTGCCCTGATTCTGGGGCAGAATCAGAGGAACCCCAGCATTGCTGCCTAGACAGGCTGGTTCAGCCAGGCCTGGGAGATCCACTGGCTGCATGGAAATTCCAGGGAAGGAGCTCTGCTGTCTCAAGGCTAGCACAGAAAGGGATGGAAATAAACTGGCACAAACACAGCCAGACTGGAAATGGCAGAGCTTCTGCTACTGGAAGCAGACTGTAGAACAGAACTCTGTCTAAGCTGAAGGGGACAAGTCACAGATTTCACAGGCAGTTGGACACTCTTAGAAATGTCCTCAGTGAGGGACCTGGAGGTGCAGCTCAGCCCAGTAACCCCAGCTCTTGGCAGAGGTAGGAAAATGAGCTGGGCTGGGGGTGTCAGCCTGGGACTGGAGCACCCAGGTGGGGCAGGAGGTGGGGTGCTGGGTTTGGGGGGCTGCAGGGCACAGGGTGCTGTGTTTGGAGGGGTGCTGTGTTTGGGGGGCTGGGTTTGGAGGCCTGCAGGGTTTGGGGTGCTGTAGGGCACAGGGTGCTGTGTCAGGAGGGCTGCAGGAGGTGCAGTGCTGGGTTTGGAAGGCTGCAGGGCACAAGGTACTGTGTCTGGGGGGCTGCAGAGTGCGGGCTGCTGGGTTTGGGGGGCTGGGTTTGGAGGGCTGCAGGGCACAGGGTGCTATGTCTGGAGGGCTGCAGGGTGCTGTATTTGGAGGGCTCAGGGCTCTGCAGGGCGCGGCTCCAGGCTCGGGTGCCC